AGAGCGGTTACAGGTGTTAGACCTGTAAGATGAACAACCTCCACTGACTCTGAACCAGGAGCCGTGCAGCAAGACCCTCCAGGTTTTTTTTGGTAAAGCAGATCCACGCCAAGGCAGACGCCTGGTTTTGCAGGCCTCAGGCTTTCAGAGTGCCCCGAGGCCAAGGGGACTGAAGCTGGCGTGACACAGCAAGTGTGTAGTTCAGTTAAACAAATTGAGCAGTTTGAGACAGATCAGAAGCCTGGTACGGTTTACAGGAGGATTTGCTGTGATCCCACTGGGTTTTGGCCTGGTCCATCATTTTAAAACTCGAGTTATACTCATGGCTTTCAAGGCTCCTCAGCTGGCAGACTCCTACGCGGCTCTCATGTGGACACGGCTTTTTTGTAACACACTTCAGCTTCCTGCAGCAGGCTGGCTTCCCTCCATCACCACCCCTCAAGCCCCCAGAAGCAGTCCGCAGACGCCAGCAACCCGCAGGTTCAGAATGAAAACGCAGCAGCTGGTCCTGAGGGCGGTGGGATAGGGATGCTACCCGCTCTCCGCCCCATGCCGTCAGCGAGATGGTCTTGGACCAGCTCCATCCCGTGGCTGGCGGCAGAGAACCTCACTTTCTTTTCTTGTCCTGCTTTGCCACCCTGAGGAAATAAGCTCCTGTTGCAGGATACGGCCTGCCTGTGGCCCACGTTAAATAGCTGGTAAAGTTGATAGCAACGGCAATGGCAAGTTATTACGTGTTAGTTCTCGAGGAAACACGACCAGAAGAACAACCAACTTACTGCTCAAACTGCAGAGCTAGTAAACCATATTGCTTAAAGATCTGTATCTCAAGTGCCCTCTGCCTATGGGGAGCTGTCGGTGTCTAACGAACTCACAGTGCAACCTTTCCCTCCGCAGGACAGGAATAGCGGCTTTCCTTTCTGCTCCATCTCTTACAAAACAGGATTTACTGCCTTTGAGGTTTCTCTCATTTATATGCGCACATTTCCTCTCATCCAGTTATAATTTTAATATACCTTGTTTCTTTTTAGGCCTGTCCTGTTCCTTTCTCACTCTTTTTTTTAGAATGTTCTGCATTTTACAACTTTTTCATTTCATTTAGGTATTGCTGGATATCCCCTCCCTCTCTACGTACATCTTTCTCCATTTCCTTTCTGTTGTATTCATAGTCCTACAGTCCAAAGCAACCTTTCAGCAGATTGCTCTGTTTTTTTCACCTCCATTATGACAGTATTATCCATCCAGCTCTGGAGCCCCCAACATAAGAAGGACATGGATGTGTTGGAGCGGGTCTAGAGGAGGGCCACAAAGATGATCTGAGGGCTGGAGCACCTCTCCTACGAGGAGAGGCTGAGGGAGTTGGGGCTGTTCAGCCTGGAGAAGAGAAGGCTCCGGGCTGACCTTAGAGCAGCCTTCCAGTGCCTGAAGGAGGCCTACAGGAAGGATGGAGAGGGACTTTTCACAAGGGTGTGTAGTGATAGGACAAGGGGGAACAGCTCTAAACTAAAAGAGGGCAGATTTAGATTAGATATTAGGAAGAAATTCTTCACCATGAGGGTGGTGAAACACTGGAACAGGTTGCATCTTTAAGGTCCCTTCCAACTCTTACCATTCTATGATTCTGTGATTCTATATTACTATAATGCCCAGAGGCACCAAGCAGACTTTGCACCCTGAACAGTCACTGTACAAACACCCAGGCAGCAACAAACGAAGTCTCCAAGTGCACCATCAAAACAGGGCAAAAAAAAGGGCCAAGGGGCAAAGAAAGCACAGAGGTGAGGTAACTTCCCAAAGGAGACAAAGCCGCTCAGTGGCAGAAGAACCACCTGAGGGCCCGATTCTTCCTTGTCCTGGATCTTGTCTTTCAGCCTGCAGCTGCACGGTTGTACTCCCTCCGTGTTGCCCTGGCACCATTCTTATTCCTTGTGAAATTATTGTAGAACCTGGGACACGCTTACACCCCTTTCAGCTGGAGCACCCCAGAGCTAAAGACAGGCTGTTTCAAAGCCTCCTCTTAACTCCACCTTTTCCAGAGACCGGGTTCCTCAGCCCTGCCCTGCCCGAAAGTTCGGCTCTGAACGGCACCGAGTCGTCAGTTTCCACC